TTTCCTTTTCACTCCCCGCCCCCTCCTTTCACATTACACGCACGGAGACCCACAAAATAAGGGGTGAAATATTTCCAGAGGGGAGGAAAACAACAACACCACCACCACCAAGAAGAAAATCCCCCCATCCAATTGTATACACAGGGATGTATGAGGATATATAAGCAAATAATACGGTGTCCAGTCAAAAAAAAAAAAAAAAAAAAAAAAAAAGTTTTCTTTCCTTCTTTTTTTCTCGTTCTTTTCTTTTCTTCTTTTTTGATGATTTTTCTTCTTCCTTTCCCTCCTTTTACACAAAAATTGATTTACAGCACCCACTTAAACAGAGAGACACACACACAGAGAGAGAGATAGAGAGAGATAGACACGTGCCATCACGATGACTAGGAAGAAAGGTTTTAAAAACAAATTTCAGGCTGAGACGTATATATTTCCATACGTACATACATACATATGTACACATACTCACATACATACATAAAAACAAAAAAAAAAAAAAACAAAAAAGAAAAGATGTATGCATAAGTTGTTTGTTGTTTATTTTTTAGATATTTACATGGCCTCACGCTCGGTCACATGCACTCAAAGTGGTGACACACACAAGAAAAGAAAAAAAAAGAAAAACAAAAACAAAAACAACGCACAACTAAAATAAAAATAAAATAAAATTAAAAAAGGTTTATATATACATGTACATACATACAATATATATGTACAAAGGGAGAAAAATAAATGCCTTTTGTAGGGGGGAATTTGCTGGTTGTTTCGTTTCACCTCCATCCTACACGCCCACTACTCCCCTTCCCCTCCCCCCTTTTTTCCCCCTCTCTTCCTCAGCCCACTTTCTCAATATATTTTTTTTTTTTTTTTTTCTCTTTTCTTGAAATTATTACTTGTTTTTTTTTCTTCCCTTTATTTATTTATTTTTTTTTTTTTGTTGTTTTTGTTTCTCCTCTGCGTTTGCTTTCCCACTTCTTCCCCTCCGCCCCAGTCATCCCATCGGTAGAACCAAAAAACGGATCTCCACCGTACACAATAATGTTGGCGATGTCTTTAGCGGGTTCTGCAACGGCCTCCTACACACACACATACAAATACACACATACATACAAAAGAAAAACAACACCAACAAAACAAAAAAGGAGAAAAGAAAAAGAGAAGATTGATGCGAAGTTTGTGTGTGTGTGTCGTCCTGCCAATTTGCGTCCCTGCGTCTGGAGTCTCCCGTCCCATTCCTACAACCGTTGGCAGAGCCGGTCCATTACCAGATAGAGCGACCGCGGCCGTGCAGTGAGGAGACGGAGCCAAACGATGGACGCCTCGTTCCTGATGTCCCACTGCTCGTGTGCAGACCCCCGTCAAGCATGGAGCTACCAAATGGGATGCCGCGACTTGGGCCAGTGAGTCGTGGTGACAATACTTGACTTGCCGGAGGTGAAACGACCGCCCCCACTGGCTTGTCAAACCCAGCCACAACATCTGCTACATCATGGAAAAATAGCAACATCACGGAGACATTGTCCGTGCTCCCACGATCCACGGCAAACTCGGCAAGTTTCTGGCAACAGTTGTTAAGCGCACGCTTCGTAGCCTCCGGGGATGAACCCACATCTGGCGTGTAGCTTAAGAAGTCCCGAACAAATTGTGTGGCCTCCTCGTTTTCTACGACATCCCACAGACCATCACAGGCCATCAAAAGAAAATTACTAGAGTCTGTTAAGTTGATTTGTCGTACATCTGCCACATTTGACACCATCAGTTCCCGATTTGCAATAAACCTATTGCCGTTGAATTTAAATTCATAGTCCCCTAACGCCCGACTCACCGCAAGAATGCCACACACCCTACCAAACTGTACGAACCCACCACACTGAAGAATACGTGTG